CATTGTATAGCCTTATACTGCACACATCAGTCCAACAGACCAATACGTGTCCTTTACATCTTCTTTATGGCTGACCAGTATTCCACAGTATCCATGAACCACAGCATCCTTGTCCAGTCACCTGCTGATGGGGCCCTGGCTGTGTCCATGTTTTAGCTACTGTAAACTGCCCTGCCACAAACACCGGGTGGGTATAGCTTTTTGTGTTGATCTTTTCACAGTTCTTCAAATGGACAAGAAAGTGTGATTGCTGGGGCCCCTGGGGGTTCTAGCTTTCCCTTCTGAGGAAGCTCTGCGGGGTTTTCCCCCAAATGATTGAGCCAATTTGCACTCCCATGTCCTCTGAAATTGTACTATCCAGAATCTGCACCAAGGAAGGCTTACTTCTATAGTCTTGTATTTAGTCCCAAGGAGTTTCACATGTTTCCATCCCATTTCCCCTGCTTGAAGGCAGGATTTCTAGGTTTCTTTGTTTTGGCTGGTGCCTGGCAAGAACCCAGGTCTTTATGCACACAGTCATGTGCCTTAGCAATGAGCGTATCTGTGCCTTCCCAGTAAGAATGCAAAGATGCTCGGGAGCAAAGCCATTTTAACAGCTTTTCCTAGAGAACCTTCTGCAAGTGGATTAAGCTCTCAATTCTTATCTTTCCCCAAGGGAGGAGGAAGTCAGTAGGTCACATAGGAGAAGTGCCTGCCTCCTCTCCTACACAACGTCAAACAGATACAGATTTATATTGGAGCTCTGTCACGCACCTGCTCTGAAACAAATCATCATTCTGAATCTGTTTGCTTATCTCTAAACCAGGGTCCTAACTATGTTTCTCTTCAAGCCCTTATGAAGACTAAGGGAACCAATGCATATCAAGTATAGTGCAACTAACATTCTGGTCTATTAGGTTAGGCCACCTTTATCTTTCCTGGCTTGCTTCAAGGCCTACAGAAAGGAGCAGAGTTAAACTGGCACAAACTGCAGAATGGCTGCTGTTTGCTCCCAGATCCACCCCTGTGGTCTCAGAGACCAGGTCCTGCTGCCCTTGAAGCCAGGCCCCAATTAATGTTCAAGAGTCTGACAGCCACAGCTCTACCAAGGCAGGGGTCTATGTGAACAGCTTGGTGCTGACTGTCATGCTCTCCCACTACCAGGAACCCATTTTAACTCTGTCACACTACTTCTTTCTTTCTTTCTTTCTTTCTTTCTTCCTTCCTTCCTTCCTTCCTTCCTTCCTTCCTTCCTTTCTTTCTTTCTTCCTTCCTTCCTTCCTTCCTTTCACTCCTTCCTTCCTTTCCTTTCTTTCACTCCTTTCTTTCATCCATCCCTTCCTTCCTTCCTTCCTTCCTTCCTTCCTTCCTTCCTTCCTTCCTTCCTTTCTCTGCTTTTTTGAGTCACACCCAGCAATGCTCAGGGCCAACTCCTGACTCTGCACTCAGGAATTACTCCTGGAGGTGCTCAGGGGACCCTACAGATTGAACCCAGGTCAGCCACGTGCAAGGCAAACACCTTACCCGCTGTACTATTGCTTCAGCCCTGTCACACTATTTCTTGTCCTAAACTTTAACTGAGACCCATTGTATTTACTACACTTGCTGGCGACACTAGCATGCAACAGGGACAAATGGAGACGTTACTGGTGCCCACTCAAGCAAATCCATGAGTAACGGGAAGTCAAGTGATCAAGTGGTCAAACTTTAACTGGCTTTTATTTCTTTCTCTTTGAGTCAGTTTCCATACCCAAGACCTAGCAGAGTCTGGGATTTATATCAAGGCTGGGACGAGCCCCTGAGATGAAGAAAGACCTGAGCAGTCTAAGGAGAAAGGGGCCCTGCAGGCAGATGGGGGCGCCTCCACCCCCAGGCTCTTGCCCACTTCTTTGAGGGCTGTTCTTGGTGAGCTGTGTTCAGGTGTGTCCTTCAGAGCATCTCCTGCTCCCCATCCTGGAGCTCGTGAGGTTTCCACACAGGCTGCTTCTGCGCCCAGACCAGAGCCCATACTTGCTGGCCCTTTGCCCTCACTCCCAGGCCCATTCTAGGCACATCCTGGCCACAAGTGGCTCCCGAAGTCCACAGGATTCAGTGACAGGACTGGGGAGTCTGGAGCGTGTCCTCAGCTTTCTGAGACCCCTCTCGGGCTGAAGCAGCACTCAGGGGCTCCAGCCCCCCTCTCCGGTTGCAAACCTCCATGCATCTCTTACGTCTCTCTCCACCCAACCCTGTTCTACTGCTATTCAGGACAGGACCACCCTGCTGTCCACAAAGGTGCAGACCCTAAGACTAGCCACTGGCCTCTGGCAAAGAGCTTCCTTGCCTCTCCTGACTTTAACAGGGCAACTCTGACCTTACTTCTTGGCTCTTGGATCCCAGCACCCAGGGGAGCACTGGGTGGTTTAAGCTGCATTTGTTCAATGAATAAGCAGGAACCACCTTCTGTTCCTGTCACTCCCCAGGCAGACAGATGGAGACCAAGCAGCATGGCCCAAGTGCCGCGAGCTCCTTTATCCGAAGACAAGGTGCCGGCACCCGTCTCCCTGCACCTGGATATCTCAGAGAAGGGGGGGTGGTGCCCAGAGAACCGCTTCTCAGGCCAGCACACAGAAACCTTGGGAGCCGGTCCTTCCATCCCTCCTTGGAACAAGCCCCCCCCCCACCCAGAAATCCAAAGCCAGACAATAGCCCCCTCAGGTGCCAGCCACCTGCTTGCTCCAAGTGAGCCAGGAAGAACGGGAGGGGGACAGCTCCCCACCGGGGGACAATGAGGAGCTGGCGCTCCTCGCTGCTCCTCGTTTGGGGCCCTCCGCTTATCTGTGGCACCTTTGTGATGTCAAACAAGAGCCCAAAGGGTGATCTTTGCCACGCAGAGTCAAGAGCGGCTGCACCGGACGATCACAGTCCCCCACTCACCCCGAGCCCCAATCAAGCATCTCAACGTCAGAACCTCAGTCCAATCAGCAGCCGCCTCAGCCCCAGGTGAAGACAACTCTCCGCCAGGAAATGCCAGGGGAGGCTGGAGGGGGACAAAGAGGAGGAGGGGGAGCACCCTTGCAGATCCCCCCACCGCACCCCCAGCCTGCAAGCCTCATGAGTGCAAACATTCAACACCCGGAAGTCGAGAGTGGAGAGCAGGCTGGGAAGGGACAGAATCCAGCTCCTAGGAGCCTCCACCTCCAATTTCAGCCTCCGGTTTCTGCGGAGGACCTTGTCCCTGGTTCACGGAGCAAACACAATGTGCGGCACGAGTCTCTGTCCCAGTGTGTGTTATTCTCTTTCTCTACACACACACACACACACACACACACACACACACACACACACACGCATGCACGCGCGCGCGCACACACACGCCCCTTCAGTTGAATCCAAAGGAAAGGGGGAAGGAAGGCCTCCTTCAGCATCACAGGCTCCAGCAAGACAAAAGGTAGAAGGTAGCAGACGGAACAGGGCCCTCCCTGTCCAGCTCCCAGCCCGGTTCTGTGCCTCCACCAGGCCCTAGCGCTCTGGACCAGAGAGAGGACCAGTCTCTGTCTCCTTTGGCTCCTCCCAGGCTCGCACAGCTGGTACAGCCCTTTCCCAGGGGACACACGCCAAGCGTTTCCCTAGGCTTCTCCGACTTAGGGCCTAAGTTCCGCCGGTTCCGAACCTTTGGGCCTCTGGTCCATCCAAACCATCACTTCTGCCCAAGCAGGCCTCACAGCCTTGCCTCTCTGCCTGTGCTGAGACTTGACGGGGGCCCAGCCAGGCTCCCCATGAGGGGAGATGGGACGGAATCAGGCAGAGGGACGATGGGGCCGACTCACCCACTCCTCCCGCAGACACACTGCTCTGGCCGGCACACACAACGCGTGTGCACGCACACCCGCACACAGGGAGCCGGGGCAGGTCCGGCGCAGGGCAGGCAAGGGGCTGCCACGGGGCACAGAGCGGGTGATTCAGCATTCTGCCCACTCTCAGTCCGGCCACGGGCAGCACTCCCAGGAGCTCTCATGCCAAAGTGCTGACTTAGAGGTTGAGGAAGACGCCTTGCTTACAGCCCAGAATTCTCCAGCACCTCAGGCCGGTTCCCCAAACCCTTCCTCTTCTGTGTCCCCATGCCACTGCCACCAGCTCAGAGCCCCTCTCCCGGCCACAGAGGAAACAAACATGAACACCTAGGAGGGCTGGCTGGGTGGAGCCTCAGAGAGAAACACTGACCCCAGTCTTCCTCACCCTGAAGACTGAAACAGGGCCCAACATTCAGGTTCAGACTGAAAGGTGAACAGGGCCCAACATTCAGAAAGGGGGCTGGGAGGGGGGTTCAGAACCTCCAGGACTCCCCCAAGAGAAGGCAGCTCGGGACAAGCAAAGTGGGTCCACGCCGGTTCACAAGGGCAGGTGGGAAGGTGATGGGAGGCAGGACAGCCAAAGGAAAAGGGATGGGGTTCAGGCGAGGGACTGGGGCACAGGAGGCAACTGGGAACAGATCTGGGCAAGGAGGGGGGTGGGGGAGGACCAGGGAAGAACTGAAATGGGGGTGGGGTGGGGGGAAGGGGGAGCTTAGTGAGACAGTGCGGTGTGATAGGATCACAGGAGGGGTCCAGGGAGGGGAGTGCCTGGGTCGGAGGGTGACCAGAAGGGATGGGGTCACTCGAAGATGGGGTGTGAGCTCAACAGAGGTACAGGGGCGGGTTGGAGGACGAGGCAGGGACAGAGAGGAAAGGGGACCCGCTGAGGATGCAGGACGGGGGGAGGGGTGCGGCCTGCCTCCCGAGGAGATGGAAAAGGGGTCGGGGCACGCAGGGACTAGGGGAGCCGGCTGGGCGGGAGGGAAGGAGGACAATGAGATGGATTCCGGCGGGTCAGGTGCAGGAAAGCAAGGGACCAGGAGGAGGACGGAGGGGGATGGGGACAGGTCAGGGATGGAGCTAGACAGAGGAGGGCGGGAACCAAAAGGCGGTGTCGCTCCAGACGGGGGGTTCCAGGACGGCCGGGTCCCACCGCCACTCCCAGCCCCCGGGGGTCGGCTCGCCTACCTGCGGGGGCTCGGGCCCCGGCGCCGGGCGCTGTCCGTGCCGCCCGCCTGCCGTTCCGCCGCTCGGCCCGCGGCCCCTGCAGCGCCTCTCGCCGCCAGCCGCCGCATTAGGACAGACAGCGGCCCTGCGCGTGCCCGGGCGCCGCGCGCCCCCGCCGCCTGCGTGCGCGCCCCCGCGCCCCTCCCTGCGCGCGCCTGCGGGAGCGGGCGGAGCCGGCCCGGCGCTGTCCCCCCAGGGGAACGGGCGGCGGGGCCCACTTTCGCCCGGTCCTCCCTGCCGCCCGCAGGTCAGGAGATGCGCTCCCCCAAAGGACCCTCTGGAGATGCGGGAGATTGCACCTGGCCCCGCGCGGGGATGGAGTGGAAGAAGTCCCGGACTGGGGGAGCGGGCACGGGGCCAGCTGTTTCTGCAACTGGACGCTGAGTGTTCGGGCCAGGGCACAGTGGGTAGTGCAGGTGGAGTCTGGGAAGAGCCTGTAGATGCTTCCTGTCCAGTCCCTGCTCCAATTCGCAGAGCTCTCGGGGAAAGAGTAAGGCGCTTGCCTTGCCCAAGGCCAACCCAGGTTGTAACCCCAGGACCCCAGAGGGTTCCCCCCACCCCACTCGAGCGCCACCAGGAGTGATTTCTGAGCGCAGAGCCAGGAGGACGCACTGAGCACCGCTGGGTGTGGCCCCCAAATCAAAAACAAAACAGAAAAACCGAACCTCAGTGTCCGTAGCAGACCCTCTGCGGTCCTAGTCGAGCACACTTTGGGCTGGCTCCTCGGTGCTCACACCATTCCTGGCTGGCACCACCTTCCCAGAGTTGTACCCACCTGCCCGCCCCTCCCCTGCCGCCTGTGAACCCTGAGAGAGCAGGAGGGTGTCAGGGCCTATGCTGTCCCCAGCTCTAGTGTCCCGCCCTGAGCACGCAGGAAACGCCCCATCTTTCGCCAAACACTGTGGACTCTCAGAGCCCAAGTCCAAAGGCATGGGGAGAAAGGGTGTCACAGCGGGACCTGGACACAAAGCTGCCCCCACAGGTCCCCACTGTTCCAGAGCTCAACTTTGTGTCCGGAACCTGTCTACATAGATGTTACGCTGGTAATCTGGTCTGGGCCTAATTTGTGCAGCTCATGCTGCAAAGGCAACCACACTTTAAAAGAGCAAGCAAAGCCGTAGGGCACAGCCACCCCCAGTCTCAGTGACAGCACCTAGTGACCTGGACCCACTTTGGGCTTGGCCCACCTCGTATAGAAAGGCAGGAGGGGATGGAGAAGGTTGAAAAATCCTCTGAAGGGAAGAATGTGGAGAATAATAAACTCTGTCCAGAAAGGTACTACTGACCCCTGGGCAGTCCAGACCTGGACCTAGGACAGCTCTCAGCCCACTCTGGACCCTCATATTGGAAGTGTCTGGCGGTGGCTGACTCCACAGCATAAAGAAAATCATATTCACTTCCAAGCACCTGTTGTGTGCCAGCAGGTGGGCATTTTGCCCAGAGCATCCACCCGCCTTGACAGTGCTAGAGGGCGGATATTCTGCGTTGCTGACAGCGAGGGGGCCCAAATTGGGTTCCAATCCCACCTCTTTATTCATAACAAGCAATACAAAAGAGAGTATAGGGGAGATCGCCTGCCATAGAGGCAGTAAAGGGAGGGATCAGAGGGTGGGGAATACTGGGAACATTGGTGGTAAAAGATGTGCACTGGTGGAGGGTTGGGTGATCAATCACTGTATGCCTGAGACTCAAACAGGGAATCTTGGTAACTGTAGCTCACAGAGATAAACTAAAAAAAAAAAAATCTTAAACGTAATGTGGAGTTCATGCCCAATTCAATCAGCTTAACCAATGACTGAATAAATAGCACTCTTACATTAAAAACAAACAAACAAACAAAAGACACTTCTACCACAGGTTGGGTGATTGACTTATTTTTTTTTATTGAAATATAACTGATTGAGGAGATAGTAGAGTGGGTAAGGTGCTTGTCTTGAACACAGCTGATGTAGGCTCAATTCCTGGCACCCTGTATGGTCATCTAAGCCCTGCCAGGAGTGATCTCAGAGCACAGAGCCAGAAGTAATCCCTGAGCGCTGCCGGGTGCGGCCCAACTGACATTATATTATATTCAAACATAATTAGTTTTAGGCATAAAGCATAATTACTTGATATTTGTATGAATTGCAAAATGATCACAATAAGAAAATCTAACATCCATCACTGCACACAGTTACGATTTTGTTCTTGTGACAGGAACTTTGACACAAATGGTATTATCAACTACAATCTCAGCACTATACATGACAATGAAATCTCGCTTTATTCTATTTTATTTTTTTACCCTACCTCAGCTCTCTTATTTTTTATAACAGAAACTTTGCACCTCTTTGGTTTTGTCTGTTTTGGTTGGGGGCCCACATCTGGCAGGCTCAGGGACTACCTCTGGCACCTAACTCAGGGTGGCTTCTGGGGATCCCGGCCAGTATTGGGGCTCAAACCTAGGCTTCTTGCATGCAAAACCTGCACTCAGCCTGTTGAACTACCTCTGCAGCCTGAAAGTTTGCACCTTTTGACCCCAGGTGTTATTAGGAGAAATTAATTTATAGCATTTGCCACATAAGCATTCAGTAAATATTATTATTAAGAATGAAAAAATTAAAACTCAATCAAGCTGCCTGTGAAATCATTCAAAGCCCTGATGTGTCTCACAGCACCAAATTAGATCTACTTTGTTATTTTCTGTTAGCACCTAAAAATCTTTGATTCACAATGTAAGTATTTAGAGTTATAGTATCAGTCAAATTGAAAGTACACAGGATTTTCCAGAAAGCACTGCCTGAGCAGTAGGGTAGATCTCTTCTCTAAGACTTGTTTTTTGCATCTGTAAAATGGGAGCATCAGTGAGGTCAGGCAGATATACACCAAAATGCTGTGCACTTAGGCAGTGGGCTGGAGAGTACAGGAGGCCAGGCACTTGCCTTGCACACAGCTATGGTTAAGCTGTGACCCTGGTTTAGATCACTGTTACCGAGTATGGGCCTCTGAGCACCATCGGGGTGAATTCTGTGCACAGAGCCAGAAATAACTCCTGAGCACCACCTGGTCTGGACCAATCCCTGTCCCCCATAAATAAATGAACGCTAGTCACCACTAGCATGCTTCATTCCTTCCATTTAAAAAAAAAAAACAGTCAAGAAACTGGGGTCCGAAAATGATACGCATCAGAGATGCCCCCCAGACCCCGCTCCAGGCTGTCTTAACTGGGGCAACCCTGACTGTGGCATGTGAGTTTCCCTCCTCACCCCGACAGAGCCCTGGCAGCCAAAAACCTCCAGAACCCAACTGCCACCATGCTCACAGCTACTCTCCACACACTCGGACAAGCCTCACCCACGAGTGAATCTGCAAACAAACCCAGGTATGCAGGACCTGCAACTGAGATCTCCAAGCTCATGCCTCCAGACCCAGCACGAGACTGCCTTAACATGGGGGTAGGGGGCAGGTGAGTTCCCCTCCCCACCCCAACAGAGCCCTGGCAACCGAAAACCTCCAGAACTCAATCACTGCCATGCTCACACACAGCCTCTCTTCATGGGCCGCGTGACCTCTCATACTCCACACTACTGATGTACCAAGAGCAGCACACCACATTTGATGCGGTTTAAAGTAGAAGGCAACCAATCTCATGGGAGGGGAAAAAAAATATATATATATATAAGCACACAAGGCTCAACCTTTAACAAGCATGTTAGCAATCTCTTATACAAGTGCTTAATGGCTCCAGGATGAAATACAACAATCTTCACACACTTTCCTCTAAGGAAACTTTATTGGACCATTTTTGGTGGATCACTCATAACAATTAATACAAAATTAATGATTTTGGTTTTGCCTTGGGGAGCACAGTTTGGGATTTGGGGTGGAAACATTCAAAATACGGTGGTGGGAAGGTGCGATGGTGGTGGGATTGGTGTTTGAATATTAAATAGAATGAATTATTGTGAACAACTTTATAAAAAAATTAAATTAGATTAGATTAAAAAAAGAAAAAGAAACTGGGGTCTATCCAATGCTAGGGAAAACAAGGGCTAGGAGGACTGGTTAATGGTTGGAATCTCCCACAGGTGTGTGTTGGGTGGAGGGTAAATACGATAGAGGATGTGAGACTTGAGTCGCCACCTACATGACAATAATAGCTGGAAATTATCACACTAAACAAAAACTGAGTGTTACAAGGAGATAAAGGGATACACACAACAACCTTTCAGTAGCTGTATTGCAAACCATAATGCCAAAAAGAAGAGAGAGCTTGCCTTAGGGGCAGGCTGGGGGTGGGATGGAGGTGATGGGAGGGAACTTGGGGAAATTTCCACTGGTGCTGGAAAATGTACACAGGTAGAGGGATGGGTGTTGGAATACTGTTTGACTGAAATCTAATCATGAACAGCTTTGGAAGGGTCTATCTTGCGGTGATTCAATTAAAAAGTTGATAGCACTGCACTGTAGCACTGTCCTCCCGTTTTCATCTATTTGCTCGAGCGGGCCCAGTAACGTTTCCATTGTGAGACTTGTTGTTACTGTGTTTGGCATATCCATATCGAATACGTCACGGGTAGCTTGCCAGGCTCTGCCATGCGGGCGAGATACTCTCAGTAACTTGCCGGGCTCTCTGAGAGGGGTGGAGGAATCGAACTCAGCTTGGCCATGTCAGCCGCATGCAAGGCAAAGCCCTACCGCCGTGCAAAATCAAACTAATAATTGAATTAAATTAAAGGTAAAGGTAAAGGTAAAGGCCCTACCGTTGATCGTCGATTTGCTCAAGTGGGCTCAGTAACGTCTCCACTGGAGACTTTGTTGTTACTGTGTTTGGCATATCGAATACTCTCGGTAGAATAATAAATAAAATAAAAAGAAACTGGATCTGCTGATAAAAAGACCACACAGTGATCCGAATGGGAACATGGGTCTCTCAGCGCAAACAGGCTTGAGGGGCAGGAGTAGCCAGAGCCCTGAGGTGGAGAAGCAGCTTTGGCATGTGGGCCATTGCTTGTGGAGGCCTGGGCTGCCCTGAATGGTGCCTATGCAGGGAGCAGACATGTTCAGGATGGCCCTTGGAGGCTGAACACCTCTTCCCAACAGCTTGTTCCTCCTGCTTCCTTCTCTTCCC